AACTTGATTTTTCTTGTTATATTCTAATAAATGTGTTTTTCAGTAGCAACATGCTTCCCTTGTAATCGTATATGATTTTACACGGTTATAATTAAGTGTTAATCACTCGTATTAAAATAGATCTTTTTATCCGACGTTAAATGTTTTATGACAGATTAGTTAGTTGTTGTTTTTTTGCGGGTGGAATAGCGCAAATCTTTTATATTGAACTAGAGGGATTTTAGATGACAATACTCGATTTTCATCAATTATAAATTTGACGTAATTAATAGACTTAATATTTATTGGTGATGCAATCCATTTAACTGTCAAGTGCCACATGATTTTATTGCACAAATGAAAAGAAAATAATAATTAGTCAGAAACCTTTAGACACTTATTGTAGGTCGTAACTATGAAACTTAAAAGTAGTTTCAGTTATGATTATAAATATCTACATTTATTTGTTTAGGTACTCGATATCTCATATAACATCAAATTAAACTAGACATTCAATTTGTTTACTTTCTTCTTTTTTAATAACATTTTTATATTATGTCTAGGAAACCCTACTCTAACTGCTACCGCCACATTGACTGTGACAGTGGATGATGTTAATGACAATGCTCCAAGATTTCTCGAAGATTATCGACCCGTCTTTTATGAGAATAAACCACCGAAACAGGAAGTACAGATCCAAGCAACAGATGAAGATGACAGATCGAAAGATAATGGACCACCGTTTACGTTTCGTATGGACTTTAATGCCCCACCTAAAATCAAAGAGTTTTTTGAAGTTGAACACGACGGTAGTGAGTAAACATACATTAACCTATGATTCCAATATGGGTACATTTTAGTTCAGCGCCTTATAGTAAACTGATTATAAATTAATATTTAGGGTATTTTTTTTTCCACAGACCCCAGATATAGTACTTAACACAATCATGTAAAGCGTAATAAATCATATTGGTCACATACACGTTTTTGATATTTTGGTAACAGATTAAAAGGAACGATTCAATTTGAAAATAAAATCATTCAATTTCAAATATTTTTTTTTAAAAAAAAAGCTCAGAAGTTGTGATTTACGTAGAGATTTTTCAACAAATCAACAAGTTATCTGGTGTAGATTTTAGTGTAAATATCTTAGTAAGTTAAGATAACCTACTAACACTGCAACATAATTAGTTATTTCTGCAAAGTTGTCAGTCGTTTTCCATTCGCAATAGGTAGAAAATAATAAACTCTTCAATGTAAATAGCCACATCTCTCTCTGATAAGTATTCAACGAAACATATGCTCTTTTCATCCAGATTTGTGTACATGTGTTTTTGTTTACCACCTTGTCACAAAAGCGGTTTCTATAAAATGCTGTTACCACAACGTGACACTCTTATCAAATTCAAGGACAGTAGTGACGAACACATTCACGTTGAAAGTTTTCAATAAAATGGTCTTTTAGATTTGAAGTTACAAACTTTCCATTTCAAAATACAAGTATTCCAGATGATTATGCTACAATGTTTACTATAAGGTTACAATGTTTACTACAAGTGTTACAATGTTTACTATAAGGTTACAATGTTTACTACAAGGTTACAATGTTTACTACAATGTTACAATGTTTACTACAATGTTACAATGTTTAGTACAAGGTTACAAAAGTTCATGGACAGAGATCGAAAATTTACTCGCACTTTTTTTCCCAAAACATGTTTCTCCTATTGCATTATGAGCTCTAAGTTCATTAAACATTGCGGGAAGTTCATCTCTATTCTTGCTACTAGGTTTAGGTATGGAAGTTTTAGAAATAATTTACGGTAATTTTAATCGCTTTTGTGTATTGACCAAAATTAGAGTTATCTGCCGTTAGGTTTAAGCTCTTAATTCATGCAAGTCATATTAGCTATATAACAGTTCCATATATGATGTATATGCATATATAAAACAATACGCCATTGGTTAAGTTATACTAGTTTTTACTAATTACTTTAGTTTCATGTTTGGCATTATTGCAAATTTCTCAAACTTTCTCGAATCTCACTGCGTTTACTTTTCTGCTGCTACTGGAGATTTAACTTTATTCAGTACTTCGTGTTGCCTGTTCCATGTGTTTTGTTAAGTGACAAGGTTAGTTAAAGTAGAAGTTGTGTTAGACACACCTCATCTTATGTTTAATATAATATGTTTTGTTCATTACACTTAATATTGTTATATTTTCACTAGAATACCAGTATTCTAGCTAGTAATTATAAGATTTAGGTATTCATTTAATTTCTCATTTTTTATTATTCATTATTTCCGTTAAAAAGTCGTTATGAAACTTAAGAACATTGTTGTACTGTGGTAAGTATGGAAATATGTGTTTTTCCTAACATTGTTTGATGGATATGTTATATTTTCATTAGAATATCAATATTTACTCTTCATTGTACAATTCAGACATTCATTTATTTTCTTATGTCGTATTATTCATTATTTTGATTTTTATAAACATTAGTTTTTGCCTATACCATTGATACTGTTCTGCTATATTACTCTACGCCTAAACAGTAACTTGTGTCGTAGCAAGTTTTCCTTATACACAATTGTGCTGGTGTTAAGTTGTTCAACGAACATTTAATCTACGACAGTATTCGAAGCTAAAAACTAGTGTTTGTGTGTTCTATAAGTAAGGTATAATATCTTATTTCTATATTGTTACTTTCCATAACATAATTTGTTAGAATGTTTAATATATCTAGCTTTATTATATCTAATATTTTCTTATTACACTTTTTGTAAAGGTTGTTTTGAATTTTTAGCTTAGCACATGGACTTAGGACTAACCAAAATCTCCTAAGTTGTCCGAACCTAGTGAGATATTACTGGGTTTACGGCCAAAAATATCGTTAGCAGCGAGAGTACCCAACTGATGAAACAATGCATTCTAATGTTACCCAATTTATAAAACAATACATTCTACTTGTAAGCAAAAACAGTGTATTCAATTAGCTATTACCATGTTTATTTCTATGTTTTATCTAAGTAGGTACCTTTCTCTGATCAGAAGTTAATATTAACGCGTACTTATGTTACAATTTTATGCTCAAACTGTGGCATATTTATGTTTTATGATTTCGAAATCTTATATATCAAACATCGATAAGTGTTTTCTTTTTTTCTTGATTATTATTTTTAAAAAACATTACAAGCACCACCCAAGACAAGTGACAACTAACTCAAGCTTTACTTCATGTTAATATAGCAGTTAAAAGTCAGTTATTCGTGATGGTAAATAAACATTTCATCGTGTGAAACTCAATAATTATTTCATAGTGTAAAGCTAAGATTTGTTTTTAAATTGTTCTGTTATAACGTCAAGGATCTGCGAAATTGTTGAATATTAACTATTGCTACATTCAATAGGAAAGGCTAACATTGAATTGAATTACGTTTTAAATACGTTAACATTATATAGTAGTTGTCTCATTATCGCTAAATTTCTGAATATATGTATGTTTTTGTGTCTTATAACAGATGGCAGAACATTGTTGTACTGTGGGAGGTATGAAAATATGCGTTTCTCCTTATAGTATTTTATTGTACTATTTAGGAATTGTTGCAACATTATGTATTAATTCTACTTTTTCATTATATAGCTTTGGATGGAATTTTACTGTGGTGAGCCCTCTTAGGTATATGCCAAAAAATTATGTCTCAGATCGAGATAACAAATAAAACACGATTTTGATGTTCCTTTAAAATAATGTCCTCTGAAACATATTTTACTTTGAAACATCATGTGTGTTTTGAGTTGAAACAAACAAAAACGTTTACACTGAAATAATTTAGGTCTCACGTTTAAATATCAATCATTTTATTATAATATTTGTTATTAGGCACAAATTTACTCAATTTACTGTTTACCCTGTGCCTTTCATGAGTATCAAAATGCGACCTTTAGCGTTATAAGCCTTCAGAATCATCCCTCAGCCACTGGAGCTCTGATGTTTTGCATTAAGACCGTTCAATTTTTTCCTTAATGACACATTGTATGTCTCAAACTCAATCATTAAATTGTTTTAATTTTTCTGTCACTTTAGACTTAAGTGGTGTTTTGCCCATCTACATATCTTAAACTGAAGCATTAAGAATTAATAATGAGCTTGCAAATTTAAAGTGAATACTTATTGTCTAAAATTTGTGCACAAAGCTTCACGGAAGAGGGTTATCTGTGCACACAAGTGTTCCTAATTTTGAACTGATGGACTAGCCAGAAGATAACTATCCAACAGCACTCGCTGCCAACTCTTGTGGTACTCTAATCTGACCAAATGGTGGAATTTGAGTATTCTTCTTATAGCACATCTTCTGTCCCAAAGTACGGAGCGCCTTTTTTTTTATCGATAATATAACATGAACCATGAATCTTCGGATTCAGGTATCGGGCACGCTAATTATAAGGTTACGCTCCGTCCAACTTGCTGTAATAGAAATGGTATAGGCGTATTATATTTTCTTATATTCCAAGTCAATGAATATTTAAAAGTATAATTTATGTAATTTGTCTATAAAACTAACCAGTTTTTCATATAGCAACACCCACATGTAAATTAATGTTTATTTAATTTTAACAAAGATATATACGTTATCATAATATCCATATGTAAAGTTTTTCTATAAATAAGAAAAAACTTTTTTTTTTCACACAAAGTATAATAATTCAATGCAATATTTTAAAAAACACGAACTCTGGTGTCTCAAATCAAAACACAATTTTGTTCTCAATTGATTTATTTGTTCTTATATTAAACAACGTAAAACAAACGTTTTTTTTGTTTTGTTGTTGTTTTAAAGTAAAATGTCATATAGTTTAAATAGAGGTGAGACATATCCAGTGTCCTGTTTTAATCGCGTTTTATGAAAGGTGTTTATTATTTAAAAGTATATTTTTATTTGAGACAGATTTAATGGCTCACTGGTGTCTCACGTTTTTACAGTGTATAACTGTGTTTGAAGACGTTTACATGTGTTCGCAGCTGGCGCAGATGGAGCTGGAATGGCGATAGTGAGATCTAAAGTAGAGTTTGATCGAGAGGAGCAGAAGGAATATCATGTGCCTATTGTGATTAAAGACAGCGGGAGAATCTCAATGACCGGGACTAGTACCTTAACAGTGGTAATTGGTGACGTGAATGACAATCTCATGCGTTCGGATAAAAAGAATATATTTGTTTATACATATAAAGGTACGTACTCTAGATGTGAAGTTTTTATACCTAATTATTATATTAGGTAATATCTTGCTTAACTTTTTACATCAACATATCATAGGCGTACGGGGATTTTCAGAGGGGGGCTGTACAAATTTTGTCCGAATGAGGTTATGAGTAAGAAACTTCTGTTACCGGTTCTTTCCGAAATTATAACTGAAAATCTGCCTGATTGGCTGTATGTATTGCAAGCTAGGGGAGGACTGCCGCCCCCGCCTCGTACGCCTATGTGTAAGAAAACTGAAAGACAATTATCCAACTCAAATTAAAATGCTTGTTATTTCCAGTTAAAAGAGTATCAGTAGAGGGAGCCACTAACATCAAACAGACTACAATTACGCACTGATTATTTACAGATAGCCAAAAAGTACTAAAGCTGTATTTGAATAAAAATGGTTCATTACGTTCAACAGGGGAAAAAAATATTAGTTATAAATACTACACATTGAAGTTCTGTTGAATAGTTCTCTAAGATTTTGGCTTCTATACTTTTATCACCCAAAAGCAAAACGTGAAAAAATTTATAGAATTTGTGTATATCGTGAATATCCTAAAATTAGAAACTAAGAACTCATTCAGACTCATTAAATAATATTAACTACAAATTTACATTAACGTTGCTTAATAGCTTACTACCATGAGCAAGGAAGAAATTATATGTTTAGATATACATGCCTGTTAATATAGCTATTAATTTATGAATATAACCAAATTCTAGGTGATAAAAGGTTAAGACTATAGAATGCATCAACTATATATTGCAGAAATAGCTTCTATGCATGAATAACATATAACGATATAACCTTGCAACAGGTTATTTATCAACAGATTTTTGTTGTTGTTTTTTCACATACCTGTTATAAGACTGTCAGTTTGATCATAAGAAGTTGTTATAAAACTTAATAGGAGATGCTTCCAATATTTCCATTGGACGAGTACACGTAAATGATTTAGACGATTGGGACCTACCCGATAAAGTGTTTGCTTGGGATAATAACGTACCAGACTCCAACTTCAACTTGGATCCAAAAACTGGAAATCTTTCCATGAAGAACGTTACGCCTGGAGGTCCATATTCTCTCGCTTTTAATGTCTTCGATCGTCGACACACCAAATCAGTGTCAGCAACTGTACACGTTAGAGTGCAGGAAATTCCAGAAGAAGCTATCTACAGTTCTGGATCTGTAAGGATTTTGGGTAAGTAAACTTGCGATGGAAAAATTCACGATATTTTATACTGCTGTAAACGTAGCTCGTGAAGTAATTTAACAATCTTCAGTTCTATATTCATGGGCATTTTCAGGTATATATATATATAAGTCACAAAAATGTTTACTTTTGTTAAAAAAAAAGTAAACATGAGAAAGTTCCAGAAAACACTATCTATAAATATGTATCCGTTAGAACTTTGATTATTAAACTTATAGAGTGTGTATATATAATTTTATATTCCTTTATTTAAAGAGAAAAAAAGAAGAAGGAAAATTCGGAGATGCTATATACACACACACACACGCGCGCACTTGGATCCACAGTAAATCTTGAAGAGTAAACTTATTTTTACAGTTTTCGCGTTTTCTACCTCTGTAAAAAGAAAAATTAAATTCCAAAAGAAGATACCAGAAAGTTTTTATCTGTAGGCTTATACCAGTAATATTCACAATATCTTCTACCAACACGAGAAATTCCAAATGAAGATACCAGAAAGTTTTTATCTGT